ACCCGTATCGTAAACTGCGCGTCATTTCGCACCACGGAGGCTTCGTTCCGTGAAATTGCGGAGAGGATACAGTCACGGGTCAGGATGCTGCCATTAAGTAACGTGGCCTCTGCACTGATCTTTACGACCAGACGGATACCTAGGAGGGGATACAGACGATGGTAACCCATGGGAAATTTTCTATGAGAGGTAGCTGAAGTTTCGAGTAAACCTTTAAACATGGGAAGAATAGGGGTATTCTGTAAACTTTGAAGGATATAAAATAAGGTTTTAAAGTGATTTATCGTCGGTGAATAAAACAAGGGTTTCTGATAGAGAAGATGAAGGGTGATAGGAATTTTGGCTGTCATGAAACACGGCAAAAATAGAAATAAATTTAAATTTATCAACTAACAAAAAATTGTCTAAGGTTATTTATTAAATTCGCCGGAGATAGGGTAAAGAGTAGAAGTCCAAAATTTTCATTTCATATTACCTGTGGTTTAGCAAATGTGTCACTTCTGACTCACGTTCATACGCAAATTATGTAAACATATTCCGATCAATTAAACACTATTTGTGAGAACTTTCTGAAAATTGGTTTATGTTTCCTGAACTTTTACGACTCATACATACCGCTTTACCCTGGAACCGGTAAATGACCGCAGTACAATACACGTGTATAACAACCCAACATATTAAATTACAATTTAACATCTTGTTTCCATTTATATGAATTTTGGGCTTTCTGTCTGAACGAAGAACATTACTTAAGACAAGTAACCACTCGGTTAGTCTAGGCTTAGATATATAATGTGCGAAATTCACGGGTTCAGATCTCGGACTGAGACATGTTATTCTATCTGTGGTTTCTCAGTCCACATAACGAATGATGGACTAATATCTTAAAATCGGCCCCAATTGCTTCTTTATACATAACTGAACACTGCCCCGTTCTTCACATGGGAGTTGGTACTTTAATGAGCAAGGCTTACCTATGGCAGCGCAGAATAATTTTAATTTTGTTGTCTAATGTAATATTTAGGAAAAGACAGACGAGGGACACAAAGCAACTTGATGAACAGAGTGTAAAATAAAGTTGCTCGGACAGTTTAATTTCTTTGCATTTCACTGAATATAGACATACGTTATAGATAAATTATTCAGTTTGACTTGAGATTAAGTATATTATGAGTAATGCACCAATGTGCTGCAAGATGAACCATTTTAGGAATATTCTTATTTCTGTTTCTATGGGCTGTACTGGACAAACAAACCAATGTGAAGTAAAACTAAATTAGCCTTATTAGTGACAAATGCAATAGGCAATCTATTTAAAACTTTATAAGATGAAACATGTAGTCGGACAGACGAAATGTCGTCACATTGCGTTCATTATATGGACTTTATGCAAAGTTTATATAAAAATATAAGTATATAGCTGTATAAATTATTTGTTATATGTTTTGTTGCATTAACGCTGTTCATTAAAATCGGAACACAATAATTTATTTTCTTAAATGGACGTTTCATCATCGTCTTGGCTTACAGTTCCTTGGGTTTTCTTTACACGAAGTGAGTAAATTTAACGCATGATGTGGTGTCTGTCTGTACGCCAATACGTTTCATCTACGAAGACGCTGTAACGATATATTTCAAATATGTTATCGGCAGGATACACCGACAATTTCCGGGTGAATTCAATCTGATTTTCTCAGAAACGGCACATCGCACGAAATGGGGGTAGGTGACATAAAATGTAGATTCCGTTTATGTCTAGAACTTTTATGTGAAACGTTTTTGGATACGGTGAATCCACAGAGAGTGCCACAAGTCCAGAAGCATAGCCAATGTACATCTTTGTCGCAGTTTTGGGTGATCGCCCTGAGTAAAGAAAGAACGTGTTGAAATAACAAGTGGAATGACCACCACGACCTCCTGATCTTGGACATCTCAACTACAACCTGCAGGACCATCTGAAAGCCAAGATGTGAGCTGTGAAAGCAGTCAACTTCGGCCACCTTCAAACAGCGAGACCACACCACAAACAATTCTCGCCTTTATCTTGGACTGGCAAAAACATTCGAGCGGTACAGCCAGTGTAAATGATGGACACATTTAATATATTCCTTAACACTCAGTAAAAACCATAATATTACTTATGGTTTCAGATTTACGGGACATTCTTTAGAGCAAATGATGTCAGATTCTCTTCAGGTGTGTGATGTGAATAACTTCGCAACAAACGAACATTAAGGCCAACAAAATGGTAACAACGCTTTTTAAATTGGCCCCAGTGCAGCAAAGGCCACTCAAAACTGCATTTCGTGCGGAGAACAGACAATAATACCAACAGAGTAAGACGCAGACAGGCACTAACTTGCGTGACACATGCACTGGACTCATTCACCCTCCTCCTGCTGTTCTCATATGGAGTTCGGCCGGAATTGCGGCTAGTTGGACAGGCGAGGCGGAAGGATACATAGCCATTTTCACCCGTGAACTGTCTGTGTGCCTTGTCATCGTGGGACACACATGAACAGCAGTGGTACGAGATTAATGACGCACAAGTGTGTGCATGAGTGGCCTATATAAATGTGTTCGTTTCTAAATACAGAGGAGCAAACTCACACTTAACAACACGTACAGCGATGGTTCCACAATTCATGTTACGACCCAAATCAGGTTCACGCGGGTCCTCGGGGTCTTAGATAGTTTTTTTGAGCACAGAGTGCAAAAAAATTTCAATTGTAACGTATTTGTTAAGACGCTGCATTATGCTCTATAATTTTGACAAGGTCTATATTTCCCCCATAACACACATCCTCACTGCCAAGGTCAAAGCTAGGAGCCAAGTGACTGAATTTATCCGACACACCATAGTGCTGTACTTACGGGCCTCAGTCGCGGCGTCAGTGGGAGGGGGGGGGGTTGTGAGTCGGGTTGCGGCTAATAAATTACGTTCAGAGAAACGAGTGAAAGTTTCTGTGCCTCTTGCTTCAAGTTCAGTTTTCCTTGTGGCTTATTGGGCGCGCGGGAACAATTCCGATCGAACACTTGAAACTGACAACCATGTTTGATGTTGGCTGAGGTGACAACGTGGCGACCGCTTGAGCCAATTCAGTTCTCAGTGTACTCAATGTTTCTCAACCGATGTACCGCGACACTTTGATTTCAAATGTTTAACGAAGTGGGTTTGCATCAGTCCTGTTTAATCATCACATCTACATGTGACCAAGGTTTCTTAGTTAATCTGCTGTGTTGTCAATATTGTTCAATATGCTTTTTTTATGTAAGATTTGAGGTTTTCACAAAGGTGAGTATTCGGATTTCTGTCTTCTGGGTTGTTGCGCTGTGTAGTCTGGTCGATGTTAACCAACATTTCAGAGGTCATACTGCCTCCGTCATCAGGGCGATTCTTAGTATGAAGATTTCTGTCTTCTGGGTTGTTGCGCTGTGTAGTCTGGTCGATGTTTACCAACATTTCTGAGGCCATACTGCCTCCGTCATCAGGGCGATTCATCATAGTTATTTTTAATTTAACAGAAGGATTATAAATAAAAATGAACACACACATACACACAACTTCACAATGACACATGACCTGTGTGCCGAGACATACTGATCTATATTTTAAAGTATAAGCAAA